AGTATTGCCTGATACTTTAGGCTGACTTAATTAAACCTCTTACAGATTCATTGTTCAGGAAGTATTATTGCTGCTGGTGGTGGGGTGTTACAGCCCATGGTTTACATCCATGATGTCCAAGGATCGATCCATGAGAAGTGCTGCCAGACAAACACTGCCAGTTAAAGTAGATAGTACTGAGGTTGGTTAACAAAGAGTCTGAATTGTTCTATATGTCACCTTTCTACATGCCGAATTGGATAGATAGCACAGTGAGTAGGGAACCTGGCTGCAGAGTCAGAGGTTGGAAGATCAATTCCCCATTGTGCCTTGTAGAACAAGAGCCAGCCTGTGTGCCTTTGGGCAAGCTACGCAGCCCTGAAGTGCCCTAGAAGAAGGAAATGGTAAACTTCTTTTGAGTTCTCTGTATCTAAAGATGGGTTGCCTTAAGTCAGGATAAATTTGTCAGTATGCAATTATTATTTTCTGTGTGCCTATACCAATGTTCCTACAGATACCACCATTACAATTCCATATCTGTCCTGCCTTTCATTTGTTTTATGGCAGCAACACTGCTGAGGTATGTACATATCCTGTCTGCCTTTCACGAATAAGTGGGCATCTGTCCTTATGTTCACATTTGATGCTCCCATGTAGGACTCTTCCACTAAACCAACTGAGAGGTGGCACAAATGTCACATAAGACCCGATTTGGGAAAGGCATGAAGGCGAGAAGATAAATAGCACTTTAACCAGCAGCAAATTGCCCAAGGTCAGCCCTGCTTAGGTATTTCCAAGTGTTGTAGCACACTGCCTTAAGCACAAGGAATTTCATGCATATTGTGGGTACTGCTTTTGCTTCCCTCCAAGGATTTCAACCTTCTTTAGCGAAAACAGGAGTCAGACTTAAAATTTTGTATCAAAGGTTCATGTACATCAACAGTAGTTCACAGAAAAGTATATAACTTATCCTTCACCATCCCATTCATTCTTTTGCCGACTCTGTGGCCTGAATTTTGATGGTGGCTCTATTGAATTCTGCCTTGAACACCTCTCCAACAAAGTTTTTGTGTATTCATGTTCAAATCTTCTTTGACCTAAATTGGTCTTAAACCCTAATCCTCTCTCATTCCCACTAACTCTAGTTTGGGGCTGCATCCCAAACCCCAGTTTCTTTCTCAATTAAGTGAGGGTGCAAGAGCAGAAAGGCAATCTCTTGCTGCTGTCCATTTCCCAACTTCCCCTAAGCTTTTTGGCACTTTTTCCTATATCTTTTCTGCCTTTTGTGCCAAGTGGGTCATTTCCCATAAAGTAGACAAATGTTCCAATTAACTGTTATTTTCCCTCAGTGACTAATGTACATGTCACAATTTTCTTTGACATAAGCCTGTGGCAGTGAGGAAGGAGGAAACACATAACATGGCTTATAACAGCCAGGGTGTTTTCATATATTTAATTCTCCTCCCTCAGTTCCCCTCTTCACCCCACCCCACCTTTAATTCATAAAATTCATTCTGTCTTTTGATGTTTTGAATATTTTTCATAATTCTAAGGCTTCGCCTTTGAACTGATACAGTTTTACAGTGCAAATAGACAGATATAAGAATCTGGTTGTTCAGCAAAGAAGATCATGTCACCAGTGTTTCCACTAATGTTGAGTGATACCTTCAATCTGAAATCAAAAGATATTCACGCCCTACAACATCTGACACTGAACTGCAAAATAACTGAGGATTTCCAGACTTTGTCCAGACCGTCATTTTATTAAGATAGGGTGGCCTATTCATATTCCATTTTAGCATGTTATAATTTAAGGGCGGGAATTCTGTTTGCAGAATCATCAGCAGTTATGGACAGAAAAAACTAAGTAAATATTAGATTTATGGGAGGCATCTTACAATATGCTGCAAAATTCAATTGGTAAATATTATTACCAATTTATGGCTTAGATTAATAGTTTAGATATTATGGATAGCTTGTCATTATGGCTGAAAGAATGTTAGCACTGGATTATAGAACAATAGAATAATCGAGTTGGAAGGGGACTAAAAGGCCATTGAGTCCAATCTCCTTCTCAGTGCAAGAATCCAAATAAAAGTAGATCTGGCAGATGGCTGTCCAATTTTCTCTTAAATGCCTTCAACGTTAGAGCGCTCACCAGCTCCCAAGGTAATCATTTTCATTGTTGTGTTCCTCTAACAGTCAAGATGTTTTTCCTGCTATTCAGCTGAAATCTGGCTTCCTGTAACTGAGCCCATTATTATGTGTCCTGCACTTTGGGACAACTGAGAATAGATTGTGCCCTTCTTCTCTATGATTATCTTTCAAGGATTTGAGAAGTACTATCATATCTCCCCTTAGTCTTCTTTTCTCAAGGCCAAACATGCCCAGTTCTTTCTGTCTTTCCTCATCCTCACAGGGCTTGGTTTCCAGTCTGCTGATCATCTTTGTTACCCTCCTCTGAACTTGTTCCAGTCTGTTGATGCCCTTCTTAAAGGGCAGTGTCCAGAAATGGACACAGTACTCTAGATGAGGGACTAATAATTCACAGGATTTGGAGACTATACATCTGTTGATGCAACCTAAAATAGCATTGGCACTTTTTTTTTTTTTTTTGGAGGCCAAAAATCACATTGGAGAGTGATTGACATGACATTTTTCATGACATTGGAGAGATATTTTCTGTCTGTAATACCCCCCCCCCAGTGGAATGTCCTTCCCTTGGAGGCTTGTTTGGCACTAGGATTGGCATCATTCTGACACCAAGTTAAAACATATTGACTAGAGCCTTTCTGGGCTGAGGATCATGGCCTGTGCAGGTTTAAATGCTATGGCTTTAAAGTTTTAATGTTGTATTTTAAACTGATTAATATTTAACTGTTTTAAACATCTTATGCTTTTAAATCATTTTATACAGACCTGTAATCTGCCTTGAGAACCTGAGATATGTTTTAAATAAATACATGTCTGAGAAATTAAACTTGAAATAAATTCAGTGCTATAGTCTTAAAAACCAATCACAAAACAAAACAAGCTAATTTGCAAACTTGTGAGGTTAACGAAACTTCTGCCATGACCCACACAGTGAGTCCTGATAGGCTTTCTATAGCCTCTGTCTCTGCCCTAAGAGACAAGATCAGCTTGTTCTTGCCATGGGAGAAGAACAAATCCTCCTTTCTACCAATGGCTGCTTGATGGTGGGACCAAAACTTCATCCCATTCCCACAAAAACAAAACTATTAGCTCATCTTTCCTGCAGCAATGCAGATTCCCCCACCCCCAACCTGGAGTTACTAGTGTCTTCTGTTACAGATTTAGTGTATATTATGAATGTTTCCACACAAAACTGTGGCCAAGCTGAGCATACTGGCAATGGGGCATATCTGCCAAGCTTTACCCCACAAACTGTTGCCTTTCTGGTAAATGATAGTCTGGCTATATTAATCTCCTAGTTTGTCAGGCATGCCACATGAATTAGACTTCTGCCTGTGTTGGCCCTTAGTTGTTATTGGGAATAATTCTCAAAAACTCTTACCCTAACCAGAAGAAGGGACGTGGTGGCACTGTGGGCGAAACTGCAGAAGCCTGTGCTGCAGGGTCAGAAGACCAGCAGTCGTAAGATCGAATCTACGCGATGGAGTGAGCGCCAATCGCTTGTCCCAGCTCCCGCCAACCTAGCGGTTCGAAAGCATGCAAATGCAAGTAGATCAATAGGGACCACCTCAGTGGGAAGGTAACAGCATTCCGTGTCTAAGTGGCCACGTGACCACGGAAGATTGTCTTCAGACAAAATGCTGGCTCTATGGCTTGGAAACGGGGATGAGCATCACCCCTCAGAGTCAAACACGACTGGACAAAAATTGTCAAGGGGAACCTTTACCTTTACCTAAGCAGAAGAACATCTTCACTCTGTTGACCCTAGCGGTTGGAAGAATTTCTTGGAATGAGGATTCGTCCTGGGAAGCTAAAGTTAAAGTAAAGTACAGGAATCCAGTTTCCAGCATGGTGTTCCAAGCGGCAGCCTATTAAACTCAGCATGCACAGAAAGAGGAAGTTACTGTTTTTTAGACTACAGCTCCCAGAATCCCACAGCCAGCAAAGTGGGTAGTCCAAGAAAATAATTTTTCCCATTTCTGACACTGTGCAAAATGCAAGAACATACCTAGGTAGAGAGTCTTAAGTAAGCAAAGTGTACTGTTATGAGAGTTCTCTGAACCAGCTTTGTATTTATCTTATGGAAAGTTGGCTTGAAACACATTTGGGTCCTCATATAAATGTTGTTTTATTCTTTTTTGGATTTGTGTGTGTGTGTGTGTGTGTGTGTGTGTGTGTGTGTGTGTGTGTGTTAGTGTCTTTCATGTATAAATATACTATGCACCTATGCATTTTAGGGTGGTGCAGTGTTAAATTTTGTAATGCTCTTGTTCCAAAAAAGGCTGCAAAAAACACGAATTACAAAATGGACTGCCACTGCACTAAAGACTGTTTTTAATTGCTTTTGTGAGGATGGCTGCAGGGGGCAGTGTGGCAGTGTCCTTTTATAAAACAAGGGGCAAACCAAATGCTCATGCAGGACTTTTTCATTATATGAGTAAGATAAGCCTGGTTGCTTTGGCCAACTTCCTGTTTTTTTTTAATTTGAATGAGGACAGTTTTGTTATTTGTGTAGAGCAGCTGAATTTTCCATTCCCTCACGTGGGACTAGTATTTACATTCCCTCATGTACAGAGAAACAGCCTGACAAAGCTCAAAGGAATTTTACCAGGGTCTTAAAACAAGCCTTCCACCTTGTTACCTTGTAAGGATTATGCCCTGACCAGCAAATTTCAAATGACCTAGGCAGTTATCTACCCCTGAATTTTGCTCATTGGGCTGATAGATACGGGATCCAGTCCAGGTAATTGTATCTGCTAGTGTCAAATGTGTTATGGCTAATAAGTGTCTCCCCAAATGTTGGCTCTTTACAAAAACTACACTATCTCACACCACGTCTTCCTTTGTTTTTGTTTTTTTTAATACAGAACACAGTGGCCAGCATCACTAGTGAACTACGGACCTTCCAGGCTCAATTTGAGGATGCAATGGCTGCCCACCAGAAAGAAGTCAAACGCTTGAATGAACATATAAAAGAACTGGCAAGAGAAAAGGAACTTGTTGGGAGGGAGGTATGTATGTCTCTTTGGCTGTGTCAGATCATGTTCTCAGATGGGAGGTTTACTTTACTGCAGAACTGGGGCAGGGGACCGACATTGGCTGGTCCAATAGGTACCTGGATGACTCTTCTGACCATGGATGACTCTTCCGATCAGAAAGAGTACACTTGTACCTGTTATATATGGTCCAACAAGTGGTACAGATGTCCCCACTTTTTAATAGAAAGGTATTTGTCACATCATGAGCCATCGGTACAAACTGAATAAGTTGCTCTATAAGAAAGCAACATTTGCTCTTTATTATCCGTGAGTGCCAACACAGTGGAGTCAGTTTAAAATCTTAAGTCTTCTTTTCCCATGAAATCAACATATAGCAGAATAATTGAGATGAACAATTCTAGCAAGCCAAAGCTGAAGACAAATAGCTTGACTTTTCAGAGGTGAAGGTAATACAGGGCTAACTTACAGGTAGGGTACAAGAAGGAAAAATAACATGTAGTTCTCCGTGTGTTGCTAGACTACAACCCTCCCTTAACTCTCACTCTTGGTGATGCTGGCTGAGGCTGATGGAGGCTATAGTCCAAACTTTATCTGACCAAACATCCTCCACCTTTGTCATAGCACTGTCACATTTTAACAGTTGTGGTTTGCAGATTTCAAATCCCGCGAAACCTCTTTGGCTTGGGGTGACAGCGAATCAAAATGAGGTGTTTGTACACCACAAGCACTGACACTTCAATCACACAGCTTTTGAGAAATTATGGGAAACTTCTGTCTCTCTAATGTCTAGGCTTGGATTGGGTGAAAGTGGCTTCCTGCAGAGCATCAGGTAGTAGCATATAGCCTCCCAAGGTAAGTGTGAAATAGAATAGCTGGCAGTGGCTTCAGCCAATCAGTTCCAATAGTGACCTGCTGTTGATTAAATTGGAAGCAGGGCTAACTGCCCACTCTGTCATGTCCTCTCTTTCTAATCTATCTCTAAATGGCAACTCTTGCAGTGGAAAAATACCTTCCACTCTCAAGCATAATCCCCAGGTGGTTACCCTCACCCACTGCCAGATGCATCCAGGGCTCTAGTTCTCTACAAACACAGAACAGCAGTACAAGAGAATGACCCCAGCCAGAAAAGACTGGGGTGGAGTGAAGGGGAAATAGAAAATTAAAGGACATAAAAGAGGAAGAGAGAGTAATTTAACATGACAGGCTGTTTATTTTGGCAAAAAAATGGCCTCCTTTCAACAGATTTCAAAGTCCAGCCCCAGGAGGGACCACACAAGCAAGCAGAAGAGGGTTGTTACAGAGGGCAGAAGGAATGGGGATGGGGTGAAGGGGCTGCAGATATTCAGAGATGGATAAAAGATGGGCAGAGAAAGACTAACACAGCATGGGAAGGGAGACAAGAGCAGATGAGAGAAAGAGTGAGAGAGAAGTGGGAGAGGACAGTTGTGGGACTAATATAACAAGCTGAGGGCAAAGAATCACAGAGCGAAATCCTCACAGGCGCCAGCATTGACCTACTTATCGCCATGGGAACCATAACATTTTCACAGCCTTTTAACTTGAGGAAGTCAGGCTCGTTGAGCTGCCTTGCCTTCTCATACGTGCAAGCACACACACATGGACTCTCATGTTAGTACACAGACATGCATTCAAAGTAAAGCAAGACATGTATGCTACACACACACACACACACACACACACACATATTCACCCATTTTGATAAGTATACAGTGTTACATGTATTATGCACATCCACATATTCCTATATGTACATGCATCCTCATGCATACATATGTATATATACACACAGATAACACACAGTATGTGGATTAAATAGATAGATAGATAGATAGATAGTACATGTATTATGCACATCCACATACTCCTATACGTACATGCATCCTCATGCATATATATGCATATATACACACAGATAACACACAGGATGTAGATGGATGGATGGATGGATGGATGGGTCGGTCGGTCGGTCGGTCGGTCGGTCGGTCGGTCGGTCGGTCGGTCGGTCGGTCGGTCGGTCGGTCGGTCGGTCGGTCGGTCGGTCGGTCGGTCGGTAGCAGAATGGGACCTGCTATTTAGAAATAGTTGCATGAATTTGTGTACTTTCACAAGCCCTTAAATTCACAGTCACATTTCTTGCCCTTTCTCTCTCACACATATATATTTGGAACTCTCTTTCTCTCCCACCCTGAAATACCCTCTTCCATGTGTCCAGGGCTCAGCTGGAGACTTGGCTGACCAGGCATGATTTCAAAAGAGCCTGTTTATAAAACGCTCCAGTCAAGATATAATTATAATAATCACATTAAGAGCTTTGCTGCAGTGTTCCTGTAAATGTAGAAAGCTCTTACACAGAGAGCGAGTGAGCCAGGAAGGAGTGTGTATGTGTGCGCGTGTGCGTGTGTGTGCACGCTATGTTTTCTTTTCAGTCCCACCCCCTGCTAGCCCACCTTCCCTTATCCTGGGGAATAAAAACAGTTTATTTTATGATGGATCGTCCCGCTCTTTGGTCACTGACCTTTCCTAGTACATTTCTGCTGAGCTCAGCAGAAAACAGCTGAGTGCATTTGTGGATCTCATATGTGGGTGGGGGGAGGGAAGGAAGGGGGCTCACCCAAATCCTTCTCAAAAACAAAACAACAACAGAGAGCTAGTTGAAGTAAACCCAGCCAACACGGAAGATCTGGACAATGTTACAGCTTTTAAAAGTAAAGGATTAAGAAAGAAAACTGGGAAGAAAAGTACTGGGGACTTGGGGTTTGTACAGAATTTGCCTGCCTCCCCCCCCCCACCCATCCCAATTTGGTGATATACAGGGCACAGCAGGCTTAGATTTCCCAAGCAGGCAGAATTAAAACACAAAATGCTCTTTTCTTCTGCACTTAAGACTCCCCGTGCTGACAGCCCAGGAAATAGCTACATTATTCCAAGGGATTCAATGTGCAGCCTCTCAGACAGATTGTATATATGCAAGGGTGCAGGAATCCCTTGTACTTGTGCGGCAAGGACCTTGGCAAAGGTGCTACTGCTTGGTTCTGAACAAGTTTCTGGCCCTCTCTAGAAGTTTCATTAGCTCACCAACACCGAGATAAACTCCTGTCTTTCGATTTGGCTATGCTGTTCCACTGTGATCGGTTCCAGAATTTGCAAATATTGCTTTTTTTTTTTACTATAAGGTCCAGAATGCCTCAGACAACATAGTCAGGGAAATTCTGGCATCTATAGCCCAGACATTGCAGACTAGAAAACTAACTTTTCTCTGAGCTCTGCATTTCTTCAAGTCTAATGGTTCTGAATATTTTTTTCAGTTCACTGTATGCTAGTTGAAACGGACATAGGCAGCAAGGGGATATTCCAAGGACAGAATGGTTGGGACCCAATGGCCAAGCAGGAATTCAGTTGAAATATCCATCCCTCTCTTTCTCTTAAGAAAAAACATATTTGCTGCTAGGTTTTAGCAGAAATAGTTTTCCTTTTTAAATTAGTGCAAGTTTTCATGATGTTGATAATAGGTTCCTGTCCTCAACAGCCTTCTTAGCTTTTGTAAACTCAAGGCTGTAACTTCCTTTATGGAGTTCCTCCATTTCATATTTGGTCTTCTTTTCATGTTTTCTTCAACTTTTGCCATCATTATTGTCTTTTCCAGCAAATTGTGTCAGTAGAGTATGTAAAATGAGAAAACCTTACGATCACCCAGGGCCAGGAGTTGTAGCAACCTGTAAGTGATGTCCCATGAAATGAATTCTTCTCCTTACAGCTTCTTTCAATCCTCACATGTCAAATATAAACTTGCTCCACCTTTGCACAATTTCACAGTGACATCCATGAGCAGACAGATAGTTTCAAATAAACATTCTCACTGGACTTATACCATGTCATGCATAAACTGCAGTGCCTCTTCCTGACATTCCTAGGACCCATTCATACTGTAAAACAGTGGTTCTTAACCTTTGTTCATACTGTAAAACACTCCGTATTTTCATAATTATGTTGCATTAGCATGGGAATAACAATTCACCTTATCCCTGTCTCCTCCATTGTTCTACATATGAAGGCCAATGTGCCTGAAAAGAGAAAACCTCCACCATCTGTCTGAGTTCTCCACATTTGGTGAAGGCCTCCAAACCAATGGTTCAATATCTGACTCACAGCAAGTGTTTAGAAATAAGAGAGGATCTCTGCTTCTAACTCATAGGCTTAAACACATAGGTTGATGATGAAACAGAGACCAAAGGGAGGCAGGATAGGTCACTTCTGTCCTTATGTGTTACTGCAACATGCCAAAATAACAAGTGAGAAGAGTTATTCTTTTCCCCCTTTCCTTTTTTTTTTAAAGTAGGAAAGTTTTGAAGCCATGTAGCTTCAAACAGCAAAAAAAGTTATGATTGGGCCAAAGTAAAATAACAGATGGCATCTAGTATCTGAACCATTAGCAGCACCTTTCAGGAGACTATACCAGTATATTTTTATGTGTATCCCTAACATTGTAAGTTAAAACACCCATAATGGGCAGTAAGTCATCCTGAAATCAGGGAGCTGGTTTCTGAGTAAACCCAGTATAGTGTTGCAGGTTTAGGATTCTTGGCTCAGTCAGGCATGTGTTTTTCTTAAAGGCAGAGCAACTGAAAGCAAAACTACGGCTGGCAGAGGAAACCCATGCAGGGGTTTGCAAAGAACTGGTCGAGCTTCACCACAAGCTGCAGGAGACAGAGGAATCCTGTGATCACCAACAGAAGGAGCTGCAGGAAATTCACAGGGCCATGGCAGATGAGAGCAGAGAAAAAGAAGCACTACAGAAGTCCAACACTGATCTCAGAGCAGCAATTAGGAAGGCAGAGAATGAGAGACTCAGGTAGGTAGAGAGTAAGTTTTCCAGATCTCAAGTTTTCACCCTTAAAGCATTGCTTCTGAAATCTCAAGATGTTACTGGTCTGGAAATCCTCATAGGTTTATTTTCACCCTGATTATTTTGAGGTTTGTTCTCCAGGTCTAAAGCATTGCTTCTGAAATCTCAAGGTGTTACTGGTCTGGAAATCCTCATAGGTTTGGAGGTTCATCCTGACATGCTGAAAATCATCCAGAGACTTGCCAGTAAATTCAATTTACTTTTGTTCTTCTGTTCAGGAGTCAATGTTCTTTTTATTTTGAATAACACACTTGACTCCCACTGTATAACACAGCCTTTAGCTTGCAGTTCTCTTCCAACATATTCTGCAAGGTAGACCCTTGGTAGTACTATAAATTGCCCTTTACATTTATCCTTGTGTCCCCACATTTTCTGTCCTGCACACATCATTTTCCAACTGTTGTTGAAGGATCTACCCCCCCATGACATCACAAGGAGACATCCCTAGGTATTACATTTGCACCCTGAAATCTGAGGGAATGGGGGGCTACTGAGCTAGCAACACTTGTAGTCAGTGGCACACAGACAGGCTGGGAAGAAGCATCTGAGGCATGGGGCTGACCTAGATCTTGTGGGTATACAGTACTTTTAGATATAACAAATAGTATAAAAGCGTGCATCTCCTGAAGTTTGCAGAGGACCAAGGAGGAAAAGGAGCAGAAGATTGCTGTTCTGGAGGAAGCAAAGGCAGCGGTGGAGGGAGAGTTGGGAGAGCTCAGAGCAAATCTACGTGAAGTGGAAAAGTCCCGCATGGAAGGCCGAAGGGAGCTACAGGAGCTGCGCAGACAGGTAGCGGTGTCCCAGAACCCCACCATCAACACCTTTGTCTGCTTAGAATTCTGGGGATATAAGAACTACTATAGGACAGTGAATTTCCATCACCGAGGCATGTACCATTGGAGGGACGTAAAAGCAGGTCAGGTGGATTGGCAGACTTTCACAAAAAAAAAAAACACAGTCCAAAATCTTATTGGATAAACACATGTGCAAGAAGAACCCTGCAGCTAATTGGTAAGGTGACATGTGGATGCCAGACAAGTACAGGATACACAATCAGGCAGACAACTGACCTGCAACCAGCAGCTCTTCAGTCAGTCATGGCAACTTTTGCAATGGCTCTTGTGCATGTGTGAATATACCACAGGATCCTGGCCACAAAGAATCCATGCCCTCTTAATCCCCATGCCCTCCTAGAGCTGTAATGGGCCCCCTCCTATCACCCATGGTTTGTTCATCTCTGCTCATTTATCAAGCTAATTGTAACTTTGGGTAAATATAATAACAGAGTGCCTGTACAGTATATGTTGACACATATAAATCACCTTCCTGGGGAAAATGGCCGTTTGTTTCTGTCATAATGGGACGCAAATGTTTTGATGGAATGAACGGTGGAGCATAAAATGCCAAGGGTATTGCTGTAGGAAGCACCTGACATTACCAAATGCGACATTCAATATGACACTCATAGTCAGCGTGTCCTGCACTTACTATAGACACAGGCAAAGCTCCAGAATGTATGGTACCTGAGCAGAGTGAACTGTGGAAGAAACATATCAAAATCCAAAATCCCTTTCTTATTTAATTTGATCCTGAAAGTCCATCTGAAAGAGCCCCAAGAGGGAAACCATCCATTATAACTTAATGTGTCTCTTACTGATTATCTCAAGCTTTGTGTTTCTCCCTTAGGATTCTCCATGCTACTTTTTTCCCATTTAGGACCTCCCCATGCCTGGTACCCTTAAGGGCACATCCAGACAGGGGAAGTTGGGGTTGTCTGGTTCATGCTTAAAAGGTTCTTCTCTTTAGTGCAATCTATGTTATCTCTCACTTGATCAGTCCTTTCGTTCACACTTAATGCCTTTATTTTCCTCCCATGAGAAGGGTCCAGACAGGTCTTTGGATTGGTCCAGTTTGTCCCCTTTTCAATTACTCGATACTCCTTTTCCTGCCCCCATCACATCTTTTCCCATGGCCATCATTCAGTGGGCCCCAACAAATTTTCTCTCTCTTTTTTTGTTAAATTAAATGACATAGCAAAATAGCAATGCTTCTGTCTAGGATGGTACACATAATACCACCAACGTATCTCATTTATAGTTCTTATTTTAAAGGTGCAAAGGGTATACTTTTTTAAGTGGGGGAGGAGACAGAGAAGGATGCAATTCATCAAGGGTCTGAGTTCAGGAGAAAAGAGGTAGGCAAAACCCATCTTTCTCCAGCAAGTAACAACCATACCAGTGATGGAGAGCTGTGCCAGCAAAAATTCAAAAGACATCAGAAAATCATCCATAATAGATACCGTGTTTTCCCAAAAATTCCAGTACAGTAGTGGTTGAATGCCTTCCTGAATATCCTAGAAACAATTAGGATGACCAATAGGAATGACATGCTTGTCCATAAATGCTACCATATTTTCCCAAAAATAAGACAGGGTCTTATATTAA